CACACACACACACACACACACACTCACACGCTCACACACTCACACACACACACACACACGCACACACAACAAGTCAAATCAGACACAGTAATCTCAGATACCAGCTCTAGATACTGAGACTGTGACTCTGGTTTGTCCACATGCTTCTGTCACAGTACGTCAATCCAGCGTATGAGTGCATCATGGGATACCAGCATGGAGAACTGCTGAAGGAAAACACTGAAGTTCTCTCTCACACACACACGTTGTGTTTCCATGTTTTATGGGGACATTCCATAGGCATAATGGTTTTTATACTGTACAAACTGTATGTGCTATTGCCCTACACCAACCCTACCCCTAAACCTACCCCTCACAGGAAACTTTGTGCATTTTTACTTTCTCAAAAAAACTAATTCTGTATGATTTATAAGCTTGTTTCCTCATGGGGACCTCAAAAATGTCCCCACAAGGTCAAAATTTACTAGTATTACTATCCTTGTGGGGATATTTGGTCCCCATAACGTGATAAATACCAGGTACACACACACACACACGCACACACACGCACTCACACACACACTCAGCTGGAGGAGCGTTTGAAGCCGCAGGGGTTGAACTTTGATTCTCCGTCAGACCTGAGACCTGCTTCTGTATGCTGTTTGGATCCTCTCTCATAAGTGTGTGTGTGTGTGTGTGTGTGTTTCAGGAGTGGCAGGGGGTTTATTATGCCAAAAAGAAGAACGGAGACAGTGTGCAGCAGAATGTGAAGATGACGCCTGTCGTTGGACAGGGAGGGTAGGCAGCGTTTCTGTCTTTCTGCTTTAATGTTTTACTCTGTTCCTTTAGAAAATAAAATGACTGATTTCAGCTTCATTTCAAAACAAACGTGTTTATTTTTATTTCTGAAGAAATGTAATTCAGCTTCCTGCTGGCCGAGGGTCAGGTGACTCTAGTTTGATCGTGTGTTCACATGTTAATATGTCTGTCTCCGTCTCTCCTGTAGTAAAATCAGGCACTGTGTGTCTGTTAACAGGCCTTTAAACGACCATAACAAGGTAAGCAGACGTTCAGTTGTCCGATAGTGATACTGTGGTGTGTTTGTGTTGTGATGATGTTTATGACTGATATGTGTGTTTTGATCCAGACAGAAAAGTCCTGTGAGCGAGTCCAGGCCGAATCACAGACAGGTACCAGAGTCACAGTGTTTACACACAATCTGATGGTGTGATGGGCAGAGAGTAATAGATGCATGATATGCAAATCACCACTCAATTAAACTACAATCAGAGAGAGAGAGAGTGTGTGAGAGAGAGTGTGTGAGAGAGAGTGTGTGAGAGAGAGTGTGTGAGAGAGAGTGTGTGAGAGAGAGTGTGTGAGAGAGAGTGTGTGAGAGAGAGTGTGTGAGAGAGAGTGTGTGAGAGAGAGTGTGTGAGAGAGAGTGTGTGAGAGAGAGTGTGTGAGAGAGAGTGTGTGAGAGAGAGTGTGTGAGAGAGAGTGTGTGAGAGAGAGTGTGTGAGAGAGAGTGTGTGAGAGAGAGTGTGTGAGAGAGAGTGTGTGAGAGAGAGTGTGTGAGAGAGAGTGTGTGAGAGAGAGTGTGTGAGAGAGAGTGTGTGAGAGAGAGTGTGTGAGAGAGAGTGTGTGAGAGAGAGTGTGTGAGAGAGAGTGTGTGAGAGAGAGTGTGTGAGAGAGAGTGTGTGAGAGAGAGTGTGTGAGAGAGAGTGTGTGAGAGAGAGTGTGTGAGAGAGAGTGTGTGAGAGAGAGTGTGTGAGAGAGAGTGTGTGAGAGAGAGTGTGTGAGAGAGAGTGTGTGAGAGAGAGTGTGTGAGAGAGAGTGTGTGAGAGAGAGTGTGTGAGAGAGAGTGTGTGAGAGAGAGTGTGTGAGAGAGAGTGTGTGAGAGAGAGTGTGTGAGAGAGAGTGTGTGAGAGAGAGTGTGTGAGAGAGAGTGTGTGAGAGAGAGTGTGTGAGAGAGAGTGTGTGAGAGAGAGTGTGTGAGAGAGAGTGTGTGAGAGAGAGTGTGTGAGAGAGAGTGTGTGAGAGAGAGTGTGTGAGAGAGAGTGTGTGAGAGAGAGTGTGTGAGAGAGAGTGTGTGAGAGAGAGTGTGTGAGAGAGAGTGTGTGAGAGAGAGTGTGTGAGAGAGAGTGTGTGAGAGAGAGTGTGTGAGAGAGAGTGTGTGAGAGAGAGTGTGTGAGAGAGAGTGTGTGAGAGAGAGTGTGTGAGAGAGAGTGTGTGAGAGAGAGTGTGTGAGAGAGAGTGTGTGAGAGAGAGTGTGTGAGAGAGAGTGTGTGAGAGAGAGTGTGTGAGAGAGAGTGTGTGAGAGAGAGTGTGTGAGAGAGAGTGTGTGAGAGAGAGTGTGTGAGAGAGAGTGTGTGAGAGAGAGTGTGTGAGAGAGAGTGTGTGAGAGAGAGTGTGTGAGAGAGAGTGTGTGAGAGAGAGTGTGTGAGAGAGAGTGTGTGAGAGAGAGTGTGTGAGAGAGAGTGTGTGAGAGAGAGTGTGTGAGAGAGAGTGTGTGAGAGAGAGTGTGTGTGAGTGTGTGTGTGTGTGTGAGTGAGTGTGTGTGAGAGAGAGTGTGTGGGAGTGTGTGAGAGAGAAAGTGTGTGTTGTTCAGGTGTGTGTGTGTGTGTGTTTGCGTGTATTCGGGTGTGTGTGTGTGTGTTTAGGTGTGCTGATGTGTTGTTGTTGTCATTGTGTGTCAGATATTCAGCAGTCCAGCAAGCATAAGGACCGAAGGAAAGGATCGCTGGACGTTCGCTCGACGACCTCTAGAGGAAGTGATGGTGAGATGACACTGCTGACCCCTGACATTTGACCCTCAACCCAAACCCCGCCCCTCACTCAGAGCTCCTCCCAAAGGCGGAGCGTTGAGATTTAACATGTAACTGCTTCGGTGTGCAAACGGCTCGTCACATCATATGTACATCTGTCCGCTCATCTTTAGTGAGTTTACTGCATTTAGGATTGGTTTTTAAAGAAATTAGCTTTGTCGGCGCTGATAGCTTGTGGTTTGTGCTGTGCTTCCGGTGACCCGAGTTTGAATCCAGACTCATGGTCCTTTGCCGATCCCATTCCCCTCTCTCCCCTTCCCTATGCTTTCCTTTCGTATCTCCACTGTCCAATCAACAATAAAAGCATAAAATACCCCAAAAATATAACTTCATAAAATAAATGAGCTTTATAAAACATGTCTCAGTCTGAAAGCCATAAAACTCTCCCTGACTAACCCTTGACCTCTGACCCTGTGCTCAGGAGCATGTGAAGTGAAGGATGTTTTCAGATGATCTTGTGTTTAGCAGGAAGTTCTCAGAGGAGATACTCGTCTATGGCCAGAATCCACTCCATGACTATTGAAGCTCCCATCACTAAGGTACATTAGTGTGTGTGTGTGTGTGTGTTTTTTTGCAGGTTCATGTTAAAAAGTGGGGCATGTATGTGTGTGTGTTATTGTGGTTGTGTGGGCTCATGTTTTAATTCTGAAAATGTGTGTGTGTGTGTGTGTGTGTGTATAGGTGATAAACATCATCAACGCGGCTCAGGAGAGTAGTCCGATGCCGGTGGCCGAAGCGCTGGACCGTGTGCTGGAGATCCTGCGGACGACAGAGTTATACTCTCCTCAGTTCGGTACTAAAGAGGAAGATCCTCACACAAATGACCTGGTGGGCGGATTGATGACTGTAAGTCTCTCAGCGCCTCTGATCGCCTGTGTGTGAGTGTGAGTGTGTGTGAGTGAGTGTGTGAGTGTGTGTGTGTGAGTGTGTGTGTGTGTGTGTGTGTGTGTGAGTGTGTGTGTGAGGGTGGGGGTGTGTTAGCGTGTGTGAGTGTGTGTGTGAGTGTGTGTGAGAGAGAGAGAGAGAGAGAGAGAGAGAATGTGTGTGTGTGTGTGTGTGAGA